TGCTGCCAAGGAGCGCTGCTGCATATGTCCGGAGGGAGGGGAGTTAATAACATGCCCTGCATAGGAACACAGACAGCTGACTTAGCCCAGTGCTGTTAACACTGACTGGCAGCATCTCCCCAGGAATTCAGGCAGGATTTTTTCCAACCCTGTCTGGAGACGCTGGGGATCCATGTAGCGATCAAACCTGAGCCATGCCTCTACCACTGAGCTGCAAACCTTCCCCCTTGTTTCAAGCAGCACCATGAAAGTAGGGGCAGGAAGAGGTGAAAGTGGGAACTGCTGTCTGAATAATGGAGCAACCATTTTTAAATTGTGTCTTTATAATTAGCATTGATAAATCACCAGTTTGTTTGTTTGTTTGTTTGTTTGTGTGGTTTAATATTAGTCAGCCTGGGAAAAGGCATCATTTTGGCGGCAGTTCAGCCAGCCATCTGGAGCAGGCACTGGGTAGCGCCATAAAGATCAGCAGAGAGAGAGCACACATGGCAGTGGAGTCTCTTGCCACCCCTTCCCTTACTCTTCTCACGATTTCCATGCTTGGAGAGGGATGGTGAACAAGCAAGGAGCAGCAGAAGCGTGCAGCTCCAGGAGCTGGGCCTTTGTTGGGGTGTGAGGTTCAGCAGGCGCCAACCGTGCCAGCTCCTGGCACTGGCCTTGCTGACGAGGCAGCAGGACCTCTCAGATGCTGCACTGTTTAGGTGCCACTGAAATGAACAGGGTCCACACAAGACAGCCAGTGTGGTGCAGTGGTTAGAGTGCTGGACTGAGACTCCAGCGACCTGGGTTCACACCCCCACTCATTCATGAAACTTGCTGACTTTAGGCTAATTGCTTGTTCTCAGCCTTACCTTCATCATAGGGAAAAAAATGGAAAGGAAGATGATTGTGTAAATTGGCTTGGATTCCTCCCAAAAAGAAGAAAGAAGAGGGATGTGAAGGTAATAAACAAACAAACCAATAAATGCAGCAGCAGCAAAGAGCACATGTGCTGCCTGGCTTATTTTAGTGAAAGCAGCCCTGTGTCTTCTATTCCCGTGTCGCTTACAGAGGTGGAGGGTGGCGCCCCTTGGCCCTTCCCCAGCAGGCAGCACAATGGCTTGAGCCTGCCCTCGCAGAGAGAGAGTTCGCTGTCTGGAGTAGCCAGGAGTGCGACATTGTAAGAAGAACGAAAGCACTTCAGCCAGAAAAATTTGTGCCTGACCTGATCAAGAAGAGGAAAAGCAAGTAGAGGGAGCAATCACACTTACCACCCATTCTGGCCTGCTTGCACTGGCTTCCTGTACATTTCAGAGCTTGATTCAAGGTGCTGGTTTTGACTTATGGCTTTGGAGTGCAATCCCAGTCAGATTACTGACTTGTAGTCCCCCAGTACAAACCCACCCAGACCCTGTGGTCCGAGGCTTTCCTACAGGTTCCTCCTCCAAAGCCCTTTTCAGTGGCAGCCCCCCAGCTGTGGAATGCCCTTCCCACCGAGGATGAGTACGCTCCTCCATCTAAGATTGTTCTCCGTTTCCAGGCATTTGATGGCATCTCATGGGATTGTAATGCTAGTTGCTTTATCAGGTCCTAGCCTTTCATTGTAACTGTTTTAGCTATTTAAATGCTTTTTTAAACATCTTGTATTTCATTTTTTGTATATTTTGTCATGTTTGTGAACCACCCTAAGAACTCTGGCTACTGGGCAGAATAGAAATAAAATAGCATAAAATACTAGTAGTCGTGTCCCCACCATGGAGATGGCAAGCAAAAGCACGTGCTATCACAGTATCAAGCCAAATGAAGACATGCCTCCCCTCAACTTCTGCATGGTGTATTGCTTTAGGGTCCTTAACCGGAAGGGATCCCACTGCACTTGATTCTCTGTGTCAGGGACGCTGGACCTCTTTCAGCCCAAGGACCAAATTCTTTTTGGAGATGCTTGAAGGGATGCATTCCAGAAGTAGGTGCAGCTGAAGGCAAATGAGATAGGCCCAAAACATCAAAACCACCAACATAGTTTACCTTAAAGCTGCCATTGCCAGTAACTAATCTTTAGGATAGATATTTAGATCTTTTGGAAAGGGTAAAAGCTGCAAAACCCAGGAAACCACCAAATGGTGGTCAGGTGAAAAGAGGTGTGGCCATGGAAAACCCCAGAAGTCACCCCAAGCTGGCCCACTTTATCTATAGGTTTTGCATTCAATTTCTGCCCCCGCCACACACACACTCTCTCTCTCTCCGCACAAAAGCCACCCATCACTTATTACTAAACATTTATTTTTTTATTTGGAAAACAAGTTGTCTTGCTGCAGGAGCCCAAGCAAGGTATATATGTCTGGGAGCAGGAGGCATAAACTGGGCGTCCAGCCTTATGTACTGTGAAGGCTCATCTGGCCTTCAGTCCTAGGTCCAAGTGAGGGACCATCTGCCAACGCTGAGGCTTGAAGCCTGGAGATGACTCCCGGGTTCCTCCACACAGCCTACCGCTGCACAAAAGTCAGCTGTGACGTCTCTGCGCACATGTAGATTCCTCCCTACCATTTCAGATAACCATGCTTTCCCAGGAAAAGAAGCTGCTGGCTGCTCTTGGTGGGATGCAGCTGGCATCAGTAAACATGCCTTCTCCCACACGCGGAACGGATCCTGTTTGTTTGGTGGGGCAGCAAATAAAACATTAGGTAGGCAGGGTCAGCAGCACCTGCACGCTCTGCACTCGGTGATTACAGTGTCTACTGTAATTTGCATGTATGAAGAGGCCCCCAGAGGGGAAAAAAGGATAAATAGAACATTCCTATGACATGGCCTTATTTCAAACACCATGGTTTTTTGGTGGAGTCAGTTAGTTAACCCTTCAGTCACCAAGTACTGGATCATTATGAACCTGCACTTGTGAATCAGCCCTATGTTCGCAAGTGCATGAAAAAATCCAGTCTTGATCTCCTGGAACCATTAAGACACATGCAGGGAGGCATGGAGGTTGTCCCTACCATCAGTACCACTAAGGAGTTAACATCTGTCTTGGACTCTCCACCCAGACAATGACTGTGGATTTCTTTGGAAAGCTTGGCGAGGCAATGTGTTCATTGGCAAAACATATGCCTTCCTCCCCATTTTAAAGCCTTCAAGTTGTAGTCCCTCAGGACAGGGCCAATACCAAGGGTAGGGATGTGGCCAGGCACCTGTCTAGGGCCCTTGTACTAGCCAAGGCCCAGAGTCCCTTGAACTTGCCCCTCCTGCTCATTGCAACGTGCTGGTTCACCTGCCCATTGCGCTGGCTCAGACAGCCATGGTGCTAAGATGGAGGAGCTGGAGGTGCTGTTTGCTCTCTGGCTCCCTGCCTGTCAAAGGAACAAGAGGAGGAGGAGGTGTGAGAGCCGCTGGTGATCATGGTGGTGGGAAGGCCTTGCCCAAGAGCCCTTAAATAAAATACGTGAAGCCAACACTCACCAAGCCCTTGCTGCTGGGGAAGGCACGGGGCAGTGGTGTGGAGGGGGGCTTGTTTTCTCTCAAACTGGCTGGGACAACAAGCAGGTGGGTTGTGGAGGAGAGGAATCCCCTCCAGGGAAGAGGGGCAAGGAGGCAGGGAAAGGGTTATCCAGAGCTTGATTTGGGAGGTCAGGCAAGTGTGACAACTTGGAGATGAATCACCTTAGCTAATGAATTATGTCCCTGGTTGCAGGGAAGGAAGCTAGGCTGGAAAGCACTTAAAAAGGGATCAGGACAGGTTGGGTGAAATTCTTAATAGATTTAAATAGGTCATGTTTCGACAGATACCTGGGCTTTTCCGAGGCTGGGTCCCAGCTATGAGCTGGTTGGTGTAATGAACCCCCCCTTCCCCTCCTTCTCTTTCTTTCTCCGTGGCTTGTCTCCCCCGCACTCTTTGATGAAGGCCCCACGACAAGAGGTGCAGAAGGGGGGGTGTTATCGGAATCACCTCGCCTTTTCCTTACACACTGTCTTTTTTTAATTAAAGTTGACTTACTGGAGGGAAGGCAAGGCAAGGTGCCCCCTGCCTGCATCTCCAGAGATCCGGAGGCTGTTCGACAAGGGGTCGGTCGAGCCCCCCCCCCCCCTCCGCCGCCGCCTCCTTCCCTTGGCCTTATGTAGGAATGTAGCCCGAGGACAGCTCAGCGCTCGCTTGGCGACGGCTCCCCATCCCAACAGGAGTGACTCGCGTTTACCTTAAGATCCCCGAGGGCTTGGACGGGGCGGGGAGACAGGAGAATCAGATTGCGAAAAGAGAGGAGGGGGCGCTCTGAAGTTGAAGAGCTTTTCTGTGGGTCTCCAAGGAGCGGGGACTGTATGAGACCGTCCTATGGGGCGGCTGTGCCCTTGGAATGAGGAGATGTATGCACGTTGGGCGTGAGGAAGTCCATTCCGTTGGGATTACTCTTCTATGCGGGAGATCTCGAGAACGGGGGTGTCTTTGAGGGAACTCTCTCCTGGGACTTGGGGGGTCTCCAGGAACGCGCGCGCATGTGCAGTGTTGAGGATAACCAACGGGGGTCTGAAAGAGGGTATATGCCCTGGCGCTATAAAGTCTATATAGCCCGGGGCACTATTCCAGAGCACCCTGTTGAATTAGAGGGTGCGGAAAATCTGCTTCCCAGGGCATCTCTGAAGCCGGGACAGTGTCTTTTCCTCGGGGTTCTCGACTACCTTCCATACGGCCTCCCTTCCTTCCAGGCCGGCTGGAAGCACTTGAAGACTGTACACCCGGCGCTAGCTTCTGGCCAAAGACCGCGGTCGCCTCGCATTTCTGAAACCTCTTTCAGGATAGCCCCGCTCCGCGGGACAGCCGCTCTTCCCCGCCCCCCGACCTCCCAGAAGAACGCTCTCTCGCCTCGGAAACCTCAGCCTGGCCGCTGCCCCGGCGTGGCTCTTCTCGAGGGCTCCCTGGCCCCAAGTGTGAAGTAGCCCGGAGAGCAGGCAGCCCTCCCCTGCCTGCTCCGGCTTCTTCCTCCCCTTTGGAGAGCCCCTTCTCGGGACCCCCCGGGGGCACTGCTTCAGCTACTCACCACCACAGCCCGATGATGTTGGCCGGGCAGAGCAGGATGAAGAAAAGCCCCAGCTGCGTCCGCGACGGGGGCAACATCCTAGAGTGGGGGCGGCGGCGGCGGCGGCGGGGGCTGGAAGATCGCCGGCGGTTGCGGCGCCGGCCCCTTCTCCAGCGCGGCGCAGCGTGCGCCTTCGGAGGCGCGGAGCGAGCGAGCCGGAGTGCGCCGGGCACAGCGGGAGTGCCGAGCCACTCGCGGGGCTAGGCGAGCGGCTGCTGCTCCAGAGCCCTGTCCCGGGCGGAGGAGGAGAGCCAGGCAGGCAGGGAGGGAGGGAGGGACGGACGGACGAGGCTGCTTCCCCCTGACAGGCAAAGCGGAGCGCGGGGAGGGGACGGCGAAAGACAGAGCGGGAGTGAGGGGGGAGCGGGGGCTGAGTGAGTGCCAAGCGGCGCATTCCGAGCGCACCGCGATTGCCATCTCCCTCCGGCAGCCCGGACAGAAGGACCGAGTCTGGGAGGCGGGGGAAGGGGCGGGGAGGGCTGCAGGGGACTCTCTCCGAAGGAGCCAGCCCCGCGAAAAGGCGCCCCCCCCCCGCGTCAGCCCCCCGCGCGGACCTGCAGCCTGGCACACCGGCCCTCCACACCTGGCCAGCCAGGGGCGCCGCTGCCAGCCGAGGCTCCGCTGCCTCTTCCCTTACGCTGGCCAAGTGGCGACGCCACCAGCACGGCTCCTGCATCTTCTCTGGGATTCCTTGCTGCCCAACGGCGAGAGCAGGCCCTGCTGGTGATGGTGCTGGTGGTACATTGTCCAGCTGCTTTTCCTACACCAAGCTGTGCCCCAATGGTCCTTCGATGCCCCGCATTTTCACAGATATATTGTCCACAGATGCCCCACTTTTTTAGAGGTCTCAGTTTCTTTCGTACTTGAAGCAAGGACTCCATTTGGCTTCTTCCTTGTCGACCTCATCCCAAAGTCTTCCGCTGAAACCCTGGAAACAGCCAAGTCTAGCTCTTGAGCCTTATTTTGAAATCTTAGGACCATGGGACATTAGGATTAAGTGGAACTCTGAGCGAGTGCAGTGTGTCTTTTCACGTAACTCTGGGTAATGCTGCCCCTACCACAGAAATACACAGGCACTCACACCTGAGGAAATGCACTGTTCAGAGGCTAAGTTGCCTTTGCACAGTCGTGCTGTTCCTCACCTGCTAAAAGAAGACCCTGTTCTATTCTGTTAACCAAGACTTAATAGAGTAGGTTTGGTGGTGTACAGAACTTAGAAGAGATAGGGTCCCTACCCATTGGTTTTGTCACACTGCAAAGCCTTTAGTTTAGACGTGTCCAGCACTCAAACCCTTGAGAAAACCAACCCCAACCCCAGAAGTGTTCTTATTGGCAGTCTGTTCTGTCTCTCAAGCCACACAAACAGCTTTCCACCATCATGCAGGTAGCTCCTGTCACGGCCAGTCTAGCTGGCCACTGTATCCCTCAGAGGGAATTTTCCCAGCCCCAAGGCAGTCAGTCCAGCAAGTTCAGGCGATTCCCATTTCCGAAATACAGCTAGGCCATACCTGCTAGGCATGATGTGCGACAGCAGTGCCCAGACTATACAGGTGGGAGTCGATCTTCTCAAAACATCACACCTTTCTAACTGTTATAAAGAAAGTGCAGGTGAACTAGTGCAGCATAGTAGTCAAAAGCATGTGCAATGAGCCACATTTCTCCAAAATCACTGCATGAGCAAACCTCTACAGAGTTTCTTGCACTCTCTGCAGCCATGGACAAGCTCCAGCCTTCCATCTGTAATACAGGAATAACAATTGCCTAGTTAATTTGTTGTTTGGAAGATTACTGAATATATGTGAAGCTTTGTGAGTACACTAGAAATCCCAAATGCTGTTACTTATCATAACAATAATAAAACTGTTACTATTAAAAACATAAAGAAGATCTTTCATAGGATCTCTCCCCCTCCCTTATTCACAATATTATCTTCAGCAAAGTTGAAGCTTTGAAAAACAACAGATACATTCATGAGTGGGGGTTCCAGTTCAGCATCTATGAGACTGTGCATTTACTTTGACTCTGAGACCATGTACATTATTGCTCCCTTATTTGACTGTTTCTGGGCACGTAACACACCAGCCACTTCCCTCCATTAGATACACAGATACTCCAATGGGGGCTGAAGTCCAAAGCACATTTACCTGCAATTAGGTCTTGCTGAACATGGCAGAACTTATGAGAAAACATATATATATATATATATATATATATATAGCATCATACTGTAAGGCTTACATATTCCTATGCACTTACTTGGGAGTAAACAGTAAATACAGTAGTCCTGTGAACTCAGGAACTTCGTAGAAGAAATATGATTGGGAATTCTTTCTCCATTCTCCACTGTCATTGCCTGCAAGGTGGGGCATCTCTGTTCCCATTTTACAGAAACATGGGAAAAGCCTAAACCTAAACACACTTGTTTGCCCAAACCAAGCCTGCTGAATGAGCTGGCACATGAATTCAAGTCTCCCAGGTTCAAGAACACTTAATCCCAGTATGCAGTTTGTACAGATGTATCAATCAACTATCAGCATTTGTCTTCTTTGAAGCTTTCCCGCCTGGGCTGGCATAAAACGCATGGTAAACCTCTCCCTCTCTCCCTCTCTCTCTCTCTCTCTCTCTCTCTCTCTCTCTCCTTATATATATATATATATATAAAATGAGTCATATGAAACCCTTCCTGGCTACAAAAATTTTAGTACTCAGCAGTGTTGTTGTTTTCCTTTTTCTGTTTAAAGTGCTCCACAGAAAGACTTTTGAAAAATCTGTCCCACTGAAAATTTTCACAACGCCATCCTCAACACATGCACATTCCTGCAAATATTGTCTGACCATGTTTTCCACTCCTTGATTCCCGCTGCTGTTTCTGGGACAGGCTGTTCTAGCTGTACAGTCCTCCCTCCACTTTTACAGGCAGGGTCAGGGAACCCCCAATAAAAAGATCTCTGGGGATGAGGAAGGGTTACTCTTATGCCTACATGTTTGCTGAAGGGCAAGACTTGCCACCTTGATGTTGGCAGGCAGGAGGGCTATAAATGCAGCTTCCAAAAACTGTAAATCCTAAAACCCTCTCACTCATCCCGGGCTCTTCCAAGCAAACAGTCACCATTTAGGCCCGGTCTGGGGGAGCGGGTATCCTTTGCCCCCCCCCATGCCTCCTCTGCGCCACGCCCCCTCCCGTTTTAGCAAGGGGCCAGCGGGGCAGGTGAAACCCCTTTATCTGATTTCCTAACCGCCCAAAAATCCCTTTGATGCCCCTTGTCCCGGGGAGTTCAAAGCAGGAAGAAAACGAAACTCTGTTGGACGCAGCAGCAGGTGCGTCCGACGGCAAATCCCCATTCATCATCGCTGCTGCGTCGGGCTGGAAAGGAGGGGGCGCGGGCAGCCGGCGGACAGGCTCAAGAAATGCTTTCTTTGCAGTCCGAAATACATCCAGACACACTCCGGGACCCCAGGCTGGGCATCCCAGGCCGCCTAGGAGCCTCCGCCCGCGATCCGAAACACAGTTTTGTTGCTGCATCGGTTGGTTTCCGTGTCGCTTTTGGCTAACGCCAGCGCTTTAGTGGCAGCATTCCTGCGCCGTCGCTACCTCACGGAGCGGCCGCTGCAGCCGGTTCGCGGGCTGAGTGACTGGCCAGAAGAGGGCGCTGACTGACGCCGAGGGATGGCGGCTCGCCCAAGGCCATCCGAGCAGGCCCGGAGGCACTCGGCAAGGCACAGTCCGGGGAGCAGAACCGTGCGGGCATACCAGAGCTCGGCTCTTCCCGGCGGGGCAGGAAAGTCACCGGCGCAGCAGCGAGAGAGAGGGCCAGTCGCGCACCCCTCGACATCAGAGCCAGGGGGCGGGCCGCGTCGGGCGTGGGCGTGGCCTCGCAGCGACTCTTTTTTTTGGAGGCATAACGGCCCCAGCCAGCCTACGGTAGGGTTGGGACAGCGGGAAATGCCACTGGGTTGAAACAAGTGGATGGCCAAGAAAACGGTGTGTGTGTGAGAGAGGGAGAGGTGGACTTTTACTCTTCCTTCATCAGCCTATCCTAGGAAACCCAACTTCAACTTCCCCAGAGGTGCCACAAAGACTGTTCTTTCCTCACTTCCTGACGCTGCTCTGCTGCCCTGCTTCCAGTCCTGTGGCATCTTTTCGTGTTATTTTAAAACTCATTGGTTGGTTAGTTGGTTGGTTAATTTATCTATAAGCCTCCCTATAGCAAAAAGTTCTCAGGGAGGGTCTCAAAGAAAACAGGTTAAAAATCAATGCATTAATGAAAACCTCCGTGCAAGAAATTAGGAGGGTGGGTACTCGGAGGAGGGCTTTCTCAGCGGTGGCGCCTAAGTTATGGAATGCGCTCCCCAGAGAGGTCCGCCTGGCGCCGTCATTAATTGCTTTTCGGCGCCAGGCGAAGACCTTTTTATTTAAGTGGCATTTTAACTGTTAGTATTGTTTGATCTTATCTGGCCAGGGCGGTTTATTTTATATTGTATTTTTTGGATTTTTAATGTTTATATTTATTGTAATTTATATTATAATTACTTTTATTTATTGTTGTAAGCCGCCCCGAGGCTTCGGCGAATGGGGCGGCATAAAAATGTTTTAATAAATAAATAAATAAATAAAATAAAAAGACCTTAAGTTCAATAAGACATATTTATTTATTTAGAGAACTTCTATGCCACCCCCTTCGCCGAAGCCTCGGGGCAGCTCACAATCATAAATAAATAAACACAATATAAAACAGTATAATTTAAGTCGCTCTGGCCAAAGAATAAAATAAATAGTATTAACAATTAAAATAACGTTTGAAGAAAAAGGTCTTCGCCTGGCGCCGAAAAACAAATAACGAAGATGCCAGGTGGACCTCTCTGGGGAGCGCATTCTATAAATTGGGCGCCACCGCAGAGAAAGCCCTCCTCCGAGTACTCACCCTCTTAATTTCCTTCACAGAGGGTTCCCGAAGAAGGGCCTCTCCCGCAGATCTCAGGGGGCGGGCGGGCATATATGGACGCAAGCACTCGTTCAGGTAGCCAGGACCCAAGCCGT